AAGTCCCAACATTCATAGAGGGCACAAATACATACATCATGTCCTCGTTTCTTAGTTACCTATACGAAGCGCCAAGAAGAAGAATCCAAAACGAGCCACAGCACTTCAAATTCCGCAAATCGTCCAAAGAGAATCAGCAGCTTCAAAGTCCTGGTGACTCCGGGTACAGTTCAAACGAGTGCTCGCCTGATCGGTCCAGTCCTCCTCGAAAAGCCAAAGCTCCCTTCGCACTTGATGGCCCAGTGTCATGTGATAGCACGCCGGTACTAGCATCCGTCGAGCCTTCAGTATCAGAGGATAATAATTGCCTCAGCCCGGGTCTGAAAGCAGGCGGCTCGCCTATTTTCACGTCGCGATCAGGTACAAAATTCAGCATCAAGCAACGACTACCTTGCACTCCAAATCCAAAGAAAAAACATGCCCCTCTCTTAAACCAGCCCCGGCGAACTCATAGTTCTATTACCAAAAGAGCTGATCGATTCGTCCCAATCAGAGACGCCCACTCTCCCTTATCAGAAAAGTATCAAACCACGAAACAGTCTTATTGTCTCTCAGCATCTGAAAAGCTTGTGCGGGGTCAGGAGGCCTCTCACGATCCTTTCTTCAGCAGGAGAGGCTCTGTTAGCCAGTTATCTAATGAGCCCAGAGTAACAAGTCCGAGTGTTCCACGGCTAGACCAACCATCAGGTAGAACATTGCTTCCTCCCCTCACAAGCCAACGTCTAACTTAACTCAAGCAGTTATCGCAGTACGAACGCTAGTATTTGATGACGAGGAATCAAGGCAGACATCTGAAGGTTTTCTGTTGAGTGGGAGCCCCGTGGTTAGGACAGGAATTGCTGTTGATGATGGGCATGGCCGTGTTCTGCGTAGCGGCACGCATGCCCAGGTCTTCAATGCTTCATTTGCGTCAGCAAATGCCACCCGCGGAGAGGCTTCAGACAAATATCAAGGCTGTATCGCCTCTGCTCTAGAGATTGATCGCGTGAGGCGGGTCCTCGATTTCAGCCCGAAGCAGACGTCGATCGCCCCTTTGCAACAAAAGACAGCCAACGGACAAATAGCTACCAGGACGACATAGAATGGGTCGAGGTGGTCAAACGAAAGGGAGCACCACGTCACCATCGGTATATTCTCTTTCTATTCCTTCTCAATAATAGCAAGGCTTCACTGACATCGTATTTGAAGGCTCGCGCCCGGTTGGATGCCGTCAGCTTCCAGATGCCCCGATCAAGTATGTACCTCGTTCAAGGAACCGATACAGAATCAGCCTGTGTATTAATATAAGCTAAATGATGCTACAGGGTCTTGGACGCGCCGATGCTTCGAGATGATTTTTACTGCTCTATTCTTGCCTACTCTCCTAGTTGTCAAACCTTGGCGATTGGTTTAAGAAACACCCTGTACACTTGGACTGAGAAACTAGGAGGCGTTCCCTCCCAGAGCGCCCGGCAAGACGGTAGCTGGATAACCTCGGTGGGGTTTTCGTCGACTGAAGGACGGAAAAACATCTTGGCCATCGGACGGTCGAACGGGTCTCTAATCCTGAAATCAACATGTGACAGCCTTCCGCGCTTCGAAGTGCAACATCCATGCGGAGTCGCCTGCGTAAGCTGGCGTCCATCGTCTACCTTGCGCCCATCCAGAAACCCAATCAATCCGGGCGGTCCGACTGGTACTGAGGATCTTATTGTTGGAGACCAGGCCGGTACATTGTTCTACTATATGGTTGAATGGCCTCTTGGGTGGGAAGTGACCCGAGATACTTGGCCAGGCAACATGGCACTAATCGCAAAGATTTCCATTCACAACCAACAGATATGTGGTCTTGCGTGGTCAACTAACGGAAAGCTTTTTGCATCTGGAGGTAACGACGATCTCTGTTGTCTCTTTGATGTTGATACAATACTTGGGGAGCATGTCAATAGGAATAGAGAGCCTTTTCAAGATGGTACCAAGACACTTCCTAGCAATACAAACCTAGAACCAGGATCACAAACATCCGGGGGCAATGGCGAGGAGAAAATTACACATGAGGCAGAGAGTAGCGAAAGTAGTTTGGCCACTGACCCTAGCACAGAAATCCAGACACGGAGAACCTCCCCGGCAACTGTGCGAAACTTTGGTCCCGGTGTTGAAAGGCACTGTTGGCCACACGGTGCTGCAGTCAAAGCCATTGCGTTTTGTCCTTGGAGAGAAGGGTTGGTGGCAACTGGAGGTGGTTCCAACGACCAATGTATCAATTTTTTCCATACCAGCTCCGGTGCTGCACTGGCCACCATCACAGTATCTGCTCAGGTGACGTCCTTGACATGGTCAACATCGAGGCGGGAAATCGCTGCAACTTTTGGCTATACTCAGCCGGAACACCCTTTTCGGATTGCCGTCTTCAGCTGGCCTGGTTGCAAGCAAGTAGCTGCTGTGTCCTGGGAGCGTGGGATGAGGGCGTTGTATGCCATTCCATATCCTAATACTTCAGGGGGGCGGGGTTCTTCAGGCAACAACCGGCTAAGCCAAGGGGGCTGCCTTGTTGTGGCATCGAGTGATAAGACGGTCAAGTTCCACGAGGTATGGTCCAACGAGGAAAAGTCCACAGTGGGCGGCACTGGTACCCTGGGTAGCAGCGATATCTTGGAAAGCTTGGAAGGCATTGACAAGGAAGGTGACATTATCCGCTGACACTCAAGAGACGGAAGCCGATCATCAGGACATATCACCCAACCAGAACCAACAACATGACTATACCAGAATGTAAGGTTCATGAAACCAGAGAATGAAATATTTGCTTTTTCCCGCTTACCCTGAAAGAAGAAGAGAGCAGGTAGTACAGATAGAGATTGAGAATCAACATTATACCTGAGGCTTCCCATCACGGAATCGTGTCCAAAAAGCAAGAAAGTTGTTCTATTGACCAAAAAATACATGCTTGGCGGGATGATATATATATGGAGAGAGTCTTTTATGCAGAACTCACTATCCAGAACTTATGAGGCAAAAAAGAACGTAGTAAAAAACAATCGAATTCCTCGGAAACGCCAAACCGTGAACAGAACGCCAATTCGTGAACGCTAAGCCAACCACCCGGGAAAGAAACGCAGAAGTTAATCTAGCTCATTTCAAAATTGCAATCAATAGGACGAGGATAATAATGAGGACGACAATGGCTGTCATCTGCTTGTTTTCACCGGCACCCCTAGCGACCTTGCCCAAGACCCTTCCCGCACGATCCAGGCGGGTTTGGTGGCGGTCAACGACCTCGTCGACTTCATCGAGCATGGCGACGTGGCTGTCAAGCTCGTCGCCGATCTGCATGCTGAGCTCCCGCTGGCGGCCGATGGACTCGCCCAGGCGGTCGAGCTGCTCATCCTGCTGCTCGAGGATCTGGGAGTGGTACTCGTGCAGCTGCTGGTTGTCGAGCTGCTCGGCTTGGTCGCGGTAGCCGGCGGAGTCGTCCCTGACGTCGGGGTCGTCGCGGTAGGCACCAAAGAGGTCGTCCGAGGGCTCCTGGGGCGTGTCGCTGAAGCGGACGGACTTGGTGTGCTTCTGGGCCGTGGTGGATGCGGCGTGGGCGAAGTCGCTGGCGAGGGCTGGGGAGTTGGGGCTGGTGAGCGTGGCCGAGGTGGAGGGGTTGGAGAAGCCGTGGAATTGGGAGGTGAGGTCGTCGAGTTGCTTCTGGAGAGGTGCGATGGAGTCGCTGATTGTAGAGGCGCCGCTGGGATGGTTTGTTAGTGAGTTGTATCATGATGCAGGTGGCCCAAAGTTTTGGGGGGGGAAGGTTGTCTGGCGGGAGTGTTGCCATGATCCCCCTCCCTCTCCTTTGGTCTGCCCGATGTGGTTGTGCAGAGACGTACGAAGTATCGCCCGAGGACTCTAACCGTGCTTGTTCCTGTTGCAGAGAGACCAGGCCGTCGCGGAACTGGTCGAGCGAGCGAGAGATGTGGCCATCTTGGGGATAGCCAGCGCCGTCGTCGCCATCGAGGTTCAGCTGCTGTGCCCGTTTCCTCTCGAGGAGCGACAGCTTAATGTGGTCTGCAAGGAGGAACAATTGGTTTGGGTTTGACATTGTTGCTGATATATTACGTCGATGCTATCGCCGCCATGGAAAGTGGATGTGTGTAAGGTAATTGGGTGCTGGGCGCTTTGCGCTGTGTCTTGCCAACCAACCTACCTGGCTGCACCAATGGAGCTTATGCACGCCCGCCTTAATTGTGTACCTGTGTTCTGCTTTACACGCCGAAATCAGTACTAAGGTGGGTGCTCCATAGTATCGACGACCTATCCCTGTCTTTTCTTTGTGCAGCTTTAGGCCAAATTCGGATGTACTTCTACGCATCCATACCCAGCACTTACGTACGCATGCACCCATCTGCGGACGGTCTCTTATGCAACCAAGTACCTACCTAAGGTAAGGCATAATATATAAGCTGCGTCCGATCCCACATCCAGAAGTGGCTTACCTACCCTACAATCGAGTACAGGGTTTTCAATTGAAGGCGCAACATGCGCCGTCTCATCCACTAGGAAAGTAAGTGCATCACTCCGTGTGAGCCAGTCTGGTAGGCATTGGAAATTAAATAGCTGTGATTTTCGAAGGTTTTCTTTTCTTTGGACAGCTATCTGCTTCGCTTTCTTTGTGGGGATCAAAACCGTGTGCTATAAATTCAAACACACCTTAATTCCCAGCATGATCACTTCAAAGAACAAATATCAAGTGAGTCTAGGCAGACGGGGAAATAAAATAAAATAATGCTTTTTTTCTTTTTGGCACGTAAATACGACAGTTAAATGTCTAGCTGTCCACTCCCAGTCGAAGCCCTCACTGGAACTCCATGATCCCGACCGATACCAATCCCGTTCCCTTCCACCAGTTAACCGTAAGGTGGAGCGGGTCGCCCAGCCATAACCGAAACACCGAAACGCAATAAATTAAGAGCAGACTCCAATATCCCAAATAGACAAACCAAATGTAGAGGTAGTTGCAGACAAATGGTGTAAATGTTTTAGTTCATGACCATTTCAGCATCCATTGCAGAAGGGAGATGGTGCGCCGAGGTGGGAGACGGCGAGTCGGCAGCACTTAGAGTGATGCAGCCATCAAACGTAGGAGGCGAGGTTCCAAGATTTTTGAGCGCTCCATCTACAGTGGTGCTGACAAGTTGACCTTGACGAAGATCCTCGGAAAAGAGGAAAAAGCCCTCGGAAGACTCAACGAGGTAGGACTGGAGACCCCGGCTCTCAAGACGGATGTGCGCATTGGTGATGGGGTAGTGGTTTTCAATGTAACGCGCCCAACCTCTGGCAGCAGCCTGGATGTGCTCATCTTTGCTCAACTGTCTCCAGCCAATGCCGAGGTGCAAAGTGAAGTCGTCAATGATGGGAGTTTTGTTGTCACCAACGCCAGTCTGCGCAGCGTCACGTTTAACGCTGGTAGGGCCAGCTGTTGACAGGGAAGGGGAGTCGTGGCTATTGGACACAACGACGCGTTGGAGCTTGCTGCTTCGTGGGGCAAGCTGCTTTCTGTCCAATTCGGCTTGAATGCGCGTCTGGTCCTCGGATGCCTTCTTCTCCTCCAACCAGGTGCCGGACTGACTACCAGCTTCGGCAACGTAGGTCTTGGTGGATTTGATAAGGGTCATCCCTGGGCCATACTCCCATACCTCTTCAGGTTCTTCGGGCTTGGGGGAAACAATGTCAGGCTCAAGGTTGCTGGCAGCCTCGTCGCGTGAGCGCTTTCTGCTCGTTGAAGTGCTGGTCTGGAATGGCGCAAGGGAGTTGGAAAAGCCGCCAAACGATGCAGACGCTGGGGCTGGAGGGCGTGGGAAGCCTGCCATGCCAAACGGTCCCTGGTGGGGAGATTGGGCTGGTACGGTCAGGACCGGAGAAGGAGAGAACTGTCGACTGAAGAATGCCATGATTGGATCTCGTGTGACGACACAAGACGACTGCGTAGGTTCAAATCTGTGGAGTTAGTAACAAATTGCATGCACAAACCGCAATGGTGAAAGGTGGCCCGAAATAGGCGAGGGCTTTTGAGGCGCTGGAGTGAAGGTAAGAGTGATGACAGGAGAGGTGGTAGTGAGGTAGGCCCAGGAGACGAGGGCAACGTGGGTGGAAGTGTGACGATGGGGCCAATTGACGGCAAGAGATGGAGTTAAAAGATCTAAAGTGTCTGAGGAGGCGAAGGATAACGCGAAGTGACTTGGATGGCGACGAGTTAAGTGCGACCGATTGACGCGTAGATGCAGGGTGAGGGTCGAGTAGGACTGAGGTGGACTGGAAGGTCAGATGTAAGTAGGTGGTGAGGGTAAGTCCTCCTTTATGGTGGAAGGGTGTGGGAAGTGTGGAAGAGATGGGAAGAGGAAGAAAGTAAAAGAGGATGGGAGGAGGGAAGGAAGAAGTATGAATGGTAGGCAGGAAGAGCAGAGGAGTGCAGATGTGAGAACGGAGGCACAGGAAGTAGGGCGAGCGAAGGGCTCTCTGTCGCCTGCAGCTGGCTGATCACATCTGAGGCCGGCCGAGTTTGTTCGTTCCCACATTGGTTGACCTGGGGAAAGAGAGCCGAGCGAGCACTCCCAGCACTGTGCCGCCATGTCGCGATCTAAGGGTGGCCAAGTCTCCACAAGGGGCTGGGAACCTCTCGGAGCTAAGAAACACTGCCAATATGCGCACGGAACTAATCCAAGCTAGGTACCTGAGAACTTTGGCGACTCGCGCAAATACAGTGCAAATAAACAGACTCTACGGCTGCAGGTCACCGCTGCATTCAGCCTATCAGCCACGCACTTGCCTGGAGGGAGCAGGGCCCCAGTGGGTGTCACCCGGTCCGGAGCAACAATCCAGCGAGGAATGGCTAGACTCATTTATGTCTCATTCCCAGGGGCCCACTGATAAAACACATACAGGTTTCAATTGGCTGGAAGGGTCGGCTCCTGCCCAGAGCCAATCGCGCATCTCGACTCGCCGATGAGTAATTGGTGTGGGTAGCTGCTGGTGGGAGGAGTCAAGGACCCAGGGCTTACCTCACGGAGTTGACCGTCTGCCTCTCGTTGGTGCATTAGTCCTTTGGTCAGCATCGGGTGACCTGACCTACATGGCGCCAACAAGCCAACAATGTAACCAGCCTCTTTATGCTGGCCCTAACCTAAGATAATACGCTGCATACGTGAATACACAGTAGCCTTCAGAATGCTGTCCATGCGCGTTAGGTTTCAGTCATCCAGACCATGCCCCATCTATCAATGCTGCCTTTCGTGCCTCCCTGCACCCATTTCTTTTGACCACTTTGCCCAGCAGGTAGTCTCCATCAATCGTCCTCGTCCTCTTGGACACCCCCAAGGTCTCGAGATGGAAGAGGTAGAGATTCCTGCTTAATTATCTATTAGAGACTTCTAAAAAACATTTCAAGGGGCCTCTAGTTGATGGACTTGATTTACCAAGTGATCTCCTTGGTTGACGGTCACTTGTTGACTAGACTATAGGATCACAGTTAATTTGATCCCGAGTTCTTCGGTAACAACCTGCATACGTACACTGATGGCTCTTGATCGTGGTGTCTGCGAGAATGGCGGAGGCAGATCTAGCGGTCTTGGGGCATTATTGTTAGTCACGACATGTCGTGTCTTGCCTGAAGATGATTCTGCTCGAGGAGTTAAGTCGAGTGCTGATTCTGGATCATCCATATCTGAAAAAGCGACATTGTCTTCGTCTTCGTCCTCGACCTCTTCTTCCTCCTCTTCTACGTGGGCACACAATATTAGATCATTGAAGGAGGATTGGGACACCTGAGCGATTGATACCTGTAGTTGTTCCCGGCGGGGTATGAGGTGGTGTAGAGTCGGACTGGACAGGCGCCACGAAGAGGGCAGCATCCTCGTCAGCTACCTGGCTCGGAGTCGATGATGCTGGAGTAGGGATGTCGTTGACATCTGTCGACTCATCATCATCTGCGGTAGGTGGTGAAGCATCTGTACAGCGCGTATGTGCATCCTGCTTGGGGCTATTCCTGAGCCGATTCCTTTGTGGATAACGTCGATCAAGGTCTCTGAGTTCCGCTGAAGTGATTGTGAGGGTTGTTGGGTGTAGTCGGAGCATTTTCACGAATGAGATGTTCAGAATGCTACGATAATGCTGGCACAGCGACATCGATGTTTCAGTTTCCCGAGGATTATCTTCTATACTTCCTGCGTAGAGATTATAGATGCTATTTGTTATTCTTCCATTCAATGGAGGAAAGTTGCATGCAACGTTCTGGCTGCACTTTACGTTGGGATACAATCTACTTGTTCAGAGGGAAGGCGTGTGCCCTCGCTGAAGGCGTTGTTGCGCCTTCCGCGATCTTATGAGGCTATATCTTCTGACAGCATTGCCATGATAGGTAGCCAGATATTTGCTGTATGAAACATCGAGATACCACAAGCCTGATATGAAACCAATGCCGCGATCGCGGATTATCTGGACGAAGCAGAGGAGGTACTGTGGCTCAGGGTCCCTTTCTACAGCAGTCTGATAACTAAGTACATAAAAAGACCTGTGGATTTCGCGAAACAGATTGCGAAAATTCGTATCTATTGAGTATTCCCGTATTAAGCTTTGGGCTTATCTTGATAACGGGGAACCTCCGAGCCAGGTCCACCGCTGGGGACCACTCGTATCAGGCAACGGGAACATGTGGCCGGGTACATCACGCGGCACTCGCTGGTAAACATCAGCCATCACCGCGCCTCAATTTTGACCACCACCCGCCTTCTTATCGTCGCCATGTAGCGTGCCTATCATCTACACATCGTGCCATGTTACTGTAGTCCCAACGCGATCGAACGAGAACCTGGTGATTTGGGAGACGAGACGAGATGAGATACTCTACCTCTTTCTTCGCGACACTCTTGCTCCCTCCGCTGCCGGCACTCGTGGAAGCATGGCCTACGCAGCCTGGTCTTCAAGTGCAAACCGTGGGCAAGGACGATGGATCTGCAGCGTGGTGGCCTGCGGTTCAGGATAGCCAGCCTCATCCGGTCTTCCCCCACCGCCCTGGACATCGCCCGACGGGCTTCATTGCCCTGGGAGATTCATACTCGGCTGGCATAGGAACCGGTGTCAATGGGACAGAGGACCCCTGCCGATATGGCATCCACGCACATCCTTTACTCATATACAATGACCTTGAAAGACTTGAAGAGCCGGCTTCTACCTCGTTCCAGCTCCTCTCCTGCACTGGTTCGACAATCACCGATCTTCTGGTGAATAGCGACCCGAGCCAAATTGGTGGGTTCAATACATCACAGACCGCTGATTTTGCCCTGCTATCTGTTGGTGGTAATGATCTTGGCTTCTTTGATATTATGAACAGCTGTATCTTCAGATTCTATAGCCTCTATTCTGGTACATGTGAAGAGGCTTTGCAAAAATCCGAGAAGCAGCTTGCCAGTCCCGATTTTGAGAATTACCTACGGCTTGCCATCATGGAGATACTGGATCGCGTCCAATGGGAAAAGCGTCCTTGGTTCTCCATCACCGTGACGGGCTATGCCCAATTTTTCAATGCAGATACCGAGGAATGTGACGAGAGCTCCTTCGGAGTTTGGTGGCGAGGCCCTAAACTCAAACGTGAGTTGCGACACAAGATGAATCGCATGGTGCTCGCAGTCAATGAGAAGATACGACGATCCGTTGCCGCTGTGAATGATGCTTTTGCGGAACCCAAGGTTCTCTTTGTGGATTACGACCACTTGTTCGAAGGCCACCGGTTTTGCGAGCCTGGCGTCATCGAACCTGATTACACTCGGAATGAGACGTGGTTCTTTCTTGTTGGTGGTCCCGATAACGATGGGCATTCGGATTCAAATAGTACTTCGACGATGCAAGATGGGGCTCTTCTGCCTCCTTGGTCCCCGCTAATTGACACGAGAACCTGCATGGAGTCTGCGCATCAATCCAAGGATTGGGGCGAGCTAGCCCTCTGCATGATGGCGACGGCGGTCGACAAAGACCCTACGTTGCAGATGGTGAGCGGTGATGGGGCCAGAGAGCAAGACATGTGGTATGTGCCTACATACTACGGAAAGACGTTTCACCCAGTGAGTTCATTGCCTATATCACCATTGGAGATATTTAGCCATCCTAATCTCAAGTAATAGCGCACCCAGGGTCATATGGCAATCAGAGATCAAATTTATCAGGAATGGCGAGACTGGTTTGGCAATCAGCCATAGGACTTGGCAACTGAGAGCATTAAAGAACAAACATAGTCCTTGGCAATCTTCACCTGGGTGCCAACCCGTAACCTCCGCGGGACATGCCCCGGTGCTGCATGGATATACAGGCAATCGCTCTTCGCCCTCGTAGTGCAGTGTCGTATGCGCCGTCAAGATCTACATATTTTGTCGATATTCGATATTCTTTCGGCGAAATGCAAGCGTTTCCTGCATTATGATTGCAAGGGAGCGTTACTATCGGTGGGCATGCATGATACAGGAGCCTTATCGTGGCTTCGTTTGGTACCTCACTTTTGTGTCTAGAATTGGGTATATATGGCTGGACTAGAACGGGAAATACAGGATATAGACAACACAAGGGCACACTGGCCGACCAGATGGCTGTCATTTGGCCCGAGGTTAACTGATTGTGCTCTCTGGCAAGGTAAACTCGCTTGTAACCTACAGGATGTGGGAGCCATTTTGGTATAGAGTGGGCACGTGTCTTGGACAACGCCATGCCATGCAAGCTGTTTTGAATCTGATGCGCCAGTCTATACCTATCCAACAATGTCATGCATGGGATTGGAAAGCCGCCAGCTGAATCCAGCCAGCTGAAAAATTGCGAGCGAAGCATAACCGCGAGCTTCTGGCATCCCTATAGTAAGGTACCTAAGATAGCGGCTTTTGTATTGATAATCACAATATGGCCATCCCGATGGCTTTGTTTGTTTGGCGTAAAGCTGCCTTGGAATGAGACGTGGGAATCCGAATGGCCAGAGAGCATCCGACCGTGTACGGCGCGCTTGTACGGAGTAAGTGGTAGAACACAGGACAGGGTGAGGAATATTAGCATCCATTCCCATGTCGATTGGTAGATCTGCCTGCGCAGTGAAAACAGTATCATATCATTGGCGGGCAAGGTGCCCCGTTGTCATAGCAGACCAGGCAATATACCCTTGGCACGGAGGACGGTACTTTCAATTATTAGAGTATCCATTGTGTTGGAAGACGCCCTGCTCCACAGGGAGCTTACAATGATCCAATGACCCACCAGGTCCTAATTTCCGGCTCCTGGCTGAGGAAGGAGAGGAGGGTGCAATTCCTGAGGCTCAACTAACAGTTGAAGGCGGGCAATGAATGCACCTCGCGTAAGATGATATCACAATAGGTACCTCCCGTCATGCTTGTGCTACATGAGGTATCTTGGCAACTTGGGGATATTTTTGATGATGCTGGGTAGGGTACCTACCTAGGTAAGGCACTAAATGCGAATGCCTGTACCAGTTGAGGTCATTCCGTTGCATCCCCGAAAACCTCGGCTTGCCCCTGTTTCCCCGCCTCATCGATCGACTCTCAGGACAATCCCGAGTCCAAAGCTGCTATGTCATCCCTCCATATTCGGAGAGGGTTCGCAGCAAGCATCCTCTTCATTGTTGAGCCGGTCAGTCCTGGCTAGGTTCTAGGAACCCGAGTGACAGATTCGAGGTGGTAGGCTTATATCGAGGTCCAACAGCGCCCTCTTCCCAGGCGACCCTCCCCTCAAGCTAGATAATCACATGTCTGGATCTTGCAGGTATGCACCTGCTAAGGTAGTCATCGTGCAGCTGGCGCTGTTGAGAGCCACGAGCACGAGGCGATTTGAGGTTGGCTACGATGTATCAAGAAACGATAGACGTAGCTGCAATGACACTACATGTCATCGACACTGGAACCCATTGGGGCAAAACCTCGTTCGCATCCTTGTCTTTCTTGGTGAGGCTCGTTTTGTTTCGGGGCTGGATGACCAGATGGATCTGCTAGTGACTGCCCCACGACGGTGTGGGCATTGCAGGGCATCTCAGTGGAGCTGGAGGTGTGCAACGGCTGGCAGCCCGCTAATTCCAGGCAGGCAGTCCGCCAAGGTTCCCGCCAATGTAGGCATCCCCTGCCCCCAGTGCCGCTGGAGCAGGGGACCTACGTAGGTCGCAGTAGGGTGGAGGAGGGTGCATTAGTGATTAATATTTGGCGTGCTTCCGCCTGTTCTCCACCCCGACTTTGTGCGACTCTCCTCTAATTATGCAACTCTCCCTCTGGGGGGCTTCGACGACGACATTGGCGACAGCTTCCAGTCCCATACGGCTGTCAATCTGGGAAGGTGACAATCCTGTTGCTCTTCTCTCCCTGGCCTTGGCCGATTAGTTGATTAGGAAATCCGACCGTCTTTCCAATCAGCATCCGTCTGGGAGGTCCTTTGTTGGCTGGTACCATCACCGCGCTCGTCTGGGTACATGCAACGCAGTCGTTGCGCTCCATCCCACGAATCCACGATACGAACGAACCTACGAGAAAACGAACGAGCCAACGAACGATGCAATTTCCCCTCATTTTGTTCGAGCTGGTATTTGTCTAAATATCACTTTCGCCGTTTTGCATATAACACCAAAGGATTCGGTTCTCATGTGCACGACCTGGATTACATGTAATTAGGCGGAACTGAGCGACTGATCTCGCCATCTGTTGTCGGGCAAGGTAAAGTACCTATCCGCAAAACCATTCTCGTTCACCAAGGAACATGTCCAACTTCACTACACTTGCCTTCTCCGTTCGCCCCAGCACGTTTCTTGCGATTTTTCTTGGTCTTGGTTAGGAAGCCCTGGGAGTCATCGGTTCTAGCTGAATGAATCATTTGGGGTACCAAACACGATCTTGACCAGAGATATGCGTCATATTGGTATATAAACGGAGGCTTTCGCCGCATCTGAGTTGCAGAGGCTAGAGATCAACTGGAGCACGTTGCGACCTTGTCCTTTCCATCAAACCTAGATCACTTATACATTCCATTGCATCCGCCATGGAAGGTTTTCTTCATCTCTTCGCTCTTGGACTCTCATTTACTACACAAGCGCATCATGCTAACTTTTGTGGCTTTAAGAGGTAGACAGCGTGATTTTGGGAGACGAAGTTGGAAATCTGTCAACATTTACTCGGGCATCGTTGACTTCACGCTACATTGATTCATGGGATAGGAGCGGCATCTCCCACACGTTAACAGCTTTGTCATCTTCACTCGTTGATATGGGTTCGGATCGCCGCTTTCTCTTCTATCTGTCACTGGTCCTTTAAGTTCGGCCTGAACCAAGGGTGACGCGGTGAGAAATCTGTCGCCTGTTGCCCTTCTTCGTATTGCCCCAGCGAAAACGCCATGGTTTATTGCGGGAAGGCCTCCCAGGGCTGCCAGAGTTGTCGCACCCGTCGAATTAAGGTAATTCTCCCTCTCATTTATAGGAATATGGTGAATGTGGCTGCGGTGTATTTTTCTAACCGACCACCAAATGTACTGAGAATGGGTCAACTAACGTTGATCATTTGTTATGTAGTGCGACAAGCTCCGGCCCGATTGCTCCCAATGCGTTCGGGTTGGCAAGAAATGCCCGGGATATCGCGATCAACTTTCTCTTATGTTTCGGGATGAGAGCAGCAAGGTTATCCAGAAGGCTCATGCGCAGTGGGGTGTGGACGATGTCCCAGAGGCTTCGGGATCTACCCCTACCGAACCGACTTTGTCGAAAACTCCCGCTTCGACTCTTCCTCATGACCAAATCTCGGCCGCTTCGACCCTGCCTTCGCCTCCATCTTCACATGCGGGGTTCTCCACGGACCTCACTCCCTATCTTCACCGAGGTGTGCATCCGTCCATTGGAGAAAGTTACGAAGATCAAGGGTTTCGGTTCTACATCAACCGCTATCTTATTGGGCACCCGGACGAGCCTAGAAATGCCGCAGAACTAAGCATGGGCGGATGGCACTGGGACCCTGCCTTGCGAGATATCTTCACCGCTGTTGGTTTGGCTGGGTTATCGAATCTTAAAGGCGACCTCGAACTCATGGCAACAGCTCGTAGGCAATATGGTAGCGCGCTTCGTACTGCCGGTCAATTGATACAGTCCAAGCAACAACCCTCTGTCGATGTCACAAGCCGTTTAGTTGTTTTGTTGGCTCTCTTTGAGGTATGTTTGTCGCCCATTGTTTCCCAGCGTTGGTACTTACAAAACAAATAGTTGGTTAAAGGCACGGAATTGAGTGCGGGGACCGTCTACGCTCACATAGCTGGTGGCGCTGCTCTAATTCGGAGTTGGTTTCCCATGCAGCGAGCCCAGTGTGGTGGTGTTCGACCTCTATTGCAACTATGTTACTCTACGGTTAGTCGAGCTGGCTTTTTTTATTGGAATTCTTGACGCTGATCAACAATAGTTCATAACCGCGTATGAAACCGGCATGGACCTCCCCCCCATGTTTCTTGATTGGGTGACTTTCGCTCGCCAGGCTATGACGCCAGAGGATGAGCCAGCGGCTGAACTAGGACTGCTGATTGCTCAGTTTATCGAGCTTTCCTCTTGTATACGTTTTCGTTCCCCTAGCCTCCAAGGTGCCGCCCGGAAAGATGCTCTCCAAAAATTAGAGCGCTTGGATAGTCGTCTTGCCACATGGGAGGAGTCTCTTGACGGACAATGGCTTTATTCAACAGAAAATGGAAGCCACTTCGATCCCGCTGCTATCTTCCGGGGAGAGTACCACCGTTATTCCGACATGTGGATTGCAGCCATGTGGAATCACTATCGTTGGGCGAGGATCCTCGTCAACCAGGCAATATTCGAAATTATTAAAGGTTCCCCTTCGATAGCAACTTCGTCAAAGACCCCCGGGACACCCTCACCTCTCCAAATCATTCAACGACTCAGCAAAGACATGTTTGCGAGCACTCCTTCGCATTGGCGCCACCCACTTCTTGGGGAAAAGGGCAATCTCTCTGTGCGACAAACACAACCAGGTGGTGGGGCGGGCTCAGCTGCGATACCAATTCTTCTCTTTCACCTCAAGGGTGCAGCTTGCGCTCCGGGAATTTCAATGGAGGACCTTGATTGGACTTACGCAATCATGGAGTGTATCTGGGGAGACATGGGCATGCTAAATGCTAAGGGGACGATGAGTGAGTTGATGATGCATCGTGATCGATTACAAAATTTACACCATGCATCAAGCATCATCAACCAGGTGAATCAAACCTAGTCTACCCCCTCTCACTCTCAAGCAAAATTTCTATTTAATTATCCCCCATTTTCTCACTCACCTAGTCGTTTGTTCCCTCCTTTTGTTATTTTTCTTTCCCTTTGTGCACCCCCCCCTTGTATCCTATACACTACCTTTTGCCTGCTGGGAATCCTGTTGAGGGTCTTTCGGTAATGGAGAGAAGGTAAAGAGCTCAAACATGGAGGTGAGAACTGTGGTGCGAAAATGACCAGACTTCTGGCAGATGGGGCTGATGGGTATATTTGGGAGTTCTTGGGCGTTCCTTTCCTAGCACAATGGCGGATTTGGGCGCATATGTTAGTGAGTTTTCGGAGCAAGCTAGCGAAAAAGGAGTTGCGGGAATTGTATCTGTTTGAATAGCATGGGTTTGGAAAAGGGCGTACGGTTGGGATGGACTGAAGAAGCACATGGATCTATGAAGCACCTAGCGGACGAGAAATGAGGCCACAAGCTTGTCTCTGCCTACATTGCACATTGGAGTACAATTCAGAGTGATACATATTCTAGATGTCCCTTCCAAGTGGATTAACTTTCACAATGATGTATAGCTGCATTATTAGGTAACTACAAAAGAACCCTTAGGCATCGACTTCTGCAAGTCTACGGTAAGATGTACTGGCGATGCTACCTCGGATGCCATCAGGCACCAATTTGTTAGTGGATTAGGCTGCACTAGCTAGGTGCGGTCGGAAGATTATTGTTGCGCTTATGGGCAGCCTGAAACCGCCTCCTACCACGCCATGCCTTCTAAGTAGCACTGACTGGACTTGCTTTGTTTCTCCACACACCGCAATCGGCTACGTACTGCTATTATTACTGTATGGGGTCTTTTGGCTCGCGACAACCTCCAGCCCGTGTTACGATATCCAGCATCGCAGACTATCTCCTTTCTAATAGCGGGCTTGGCATCAATACCCTTCGATTTTATTCTGTTGACGGCCATCACGGCCATACTCGGACTACCCGCAGATGAGACCTTGACTGTTTTTACCGAGACTCATCCCCCAGCCGGACCTACGCGCTGGTCGACATGGCCGGTTCGCGCCAACCCGCAACCCACCTCATGTTGGAGAACCAGCACTAACAAAAGTTCAACCTGGCAGGTGACGAGCAAACCATCAAAGTGGCATCGAAGAAGGAGATCAAGAATGGCGTTATTAAATTGAGAAAAGTGCCTCCCAAGCACAGCAAGCCTGGGAACTGGAGGGATGGCAGCATGGTAGAGGGTAGGTGCGCATCGCGGCTGGAGGCCGGCGCATTCCATTTCTGCCCGATTACTTATGCCGTTTTGTACATGCTAATACGTTGGGTTGTGCAGAAGGGGACAACAAAAACGACAAAGCTTCATCAACAACTGTATCGCCTAGCCCTGTCGTTAACCAGCTGGAAGATGATGCACGAGATGCCTTTGCGACTGGCCGGCCGTTGGAGGATAGCCCTGAACTACAGCAGTGCAAGCACTGCAAGAAGAACGTTTTGAAAACCGCTGCGACCGCTCATATCAACCAATGTCTAAAGGTCAAGAGGGAGAAGGCGCAGCGTAAGAAGGAGGCGCGTGAGGCGAGAGAAAGGGCCAAAGAAGCCGCCAGGGAGGAAGAGCAACGAAAGGCTGACGAAGAGAACGGGGATGGGAAGGACGATGACAGCGATGAGGGTGATGGTTCCCCTGGCAAGAAAGGCAAGGCGTCGAAGAAGCCTGGAAAGAAGCCCGATGGTTCTGGGAAGAAGCGAAAGGCAGACGCAGATTTCGAGAAAGGCCCCAAGGCTAAAAAGAAGAAGGATGAACCCAAGGCGAAAGCCCCCAAGACTAAAGGTGAGAATCCGGACTTAAAGAGACCTTCAAGAAGTTGACACTGACAAGATTGAATAGGTCCTGTTGATGTCGAACGACAGTGTGGTGTTATACTTCCAAACGGGCAGCCTTGTGCCAGGTCTCTTACTTGCAAGAGCCATAGTATGGGTGCTAAACGAGCTGTCGCGGGTAGATCGCTCCCCTATGACATGCTTCTGGCTGCCTACCAGAAGAAGAACCAGGCGAAGCAACAGAGTGAGCCCCTCCTGTTTTAGTCTTAACCCAGCCTGCTTTGATGTACAAGACTGACATTCCTTTTTTTTCTCCGGTTATCAGAGGCCGCGTTAGACGCAAATGCTCCTCTTGAAGATGAGGACGAGATGAATAACGGGCCAGTTGACTCAGACGAGGAGGCTGGAGCAGTGATGAGCGCACTTGCCAACTGGAAACCCCAGCCCGTTATACCACAGCCGATTTTCGTACCGATAAAGCGCCAATATCAACTGGCGAGGCTCCATGAACAGCTACAAATGGCTACGAATGGGGGGCGCAACAACATTTTTGCAGTGAAAGGACTCGACAGCACAAGGTTTGGTGATGTGAACTCGGCATTTCCTGACGGCGAAGACGCTCCGGGTGAGCCAGAGATCAATATGGCTGGCTTTGGTACTGCCAACCGCGTGCCGAGCATTTCAGGGTCCACCGGAACACACCGAAGGCCCTCTGTGGCCAGCAGAGGGTAGAGATCACGGCCACGTGCTAACGTGCTACATATAATGATTATGATCAATGATTGTGGAGCTTTTTGAGGCGGGCCGAATCTCCTCTGCTTCACCCCCTCCTCGCTCTCCGCTTGGAATTGTGTGGCTTTGTCTGTTTTTGAGTTTTTGAGTTTTTGAGAATGAGATGTCCTCTCAGAGTGTATTATGGATTGATGGTTCTGCATTGCATGGCGCTTGGGATTGGGGTTGCAATATCAAATAACTTACAGGTCGGGGCGTTGACCAACAATACATTAGCTATATCTCAAGAGGCTGGGTACATACTGGCGGATATATTCAGCCTGGCTACTTGCATATTTTCCTACAGCATAAGGACGTCACCAAACTTTCGTATCAGCTCTCCTGACACTGAACATGGGTCTGCTCACTCATGCTGATAAGGCAACTATTGCAAAAAGGAAGTTACGAATCTTAGAGGCCATTATCTTTGCCCTAGATAGAACCTGAATTCGCCAACCTCTTCTTTGATGGGCTGGTAGTGGCCCAAATCAAACGATTTGGTCTTCTAACATGAAACTAAGCAAACGCTACATAATGCAAAATTATTCAGTGGGAGCTGGCTCATCGGCTCTCTCAACCATAAGCTATTCGTCTTGGCTTCTTTGCCTTCAATGTTCGTTATGGCGTAGGCGTATCTGTTGTAGTTAAGATCAAGGAATTACGCCTTAGCTAGAGACCAAATGTATGAGTCTACCATTATGTCCGCATATATGGGCAAGTGAATAATTGCTGGAGGCTCTTTGTACCTAGGAAGGCTCATAGTTGATACTTCTGTAACGGTGGAGCTAACACTGGAAACCAACTCCGGTTTTCTCGACTGTGCTGGCTCCCCGGGCTGAGAATCCTGTTCCCTCAGACTTGAGAGCAACCAGTCCTACAGGGAGGCCTTGGGATGACCCAGGTGCGTCGGACGCCAGTGCGACGGTCTCGTCGCAGACATAGCATGTGATGATTGAATCCGTGTCCTGGCTCGCATCTTTGGCAGAGGGCAAAATAAACTGCTTGACGCACTTGGAGCATAATACATGGCCGCAGCGCTTTGCAAGAATAGGGGCTGAGGCATTAGTTAACAACTTTAAGCACGAGGGGCACGACCTTTTGTCCTGCTGGGAGGCTGTATCGAATTGTTCGTGGAATCGAACGGTGATGAGCTTGTTCATAGAAAAGGGATGGGAATTGCCGTCGTTGGAGGCTGGACAAAGCGGTGTATCTTTCGCCTTTTTCGCTGCCGGTCCGAGTTTGCTGTCTCGAATGTCCGGGGTGAGTGATGGTGTCCAGAAGGACGGGAGAGAGTCACTCGAGGCCTGCAACAGCACATCCTGTTAGCTCCCAAACTCAGTCAATTCCATGGACAGCTTCCCCCAGTCGAATTGAGAATATAATGGTCATATCCTATCTCTCTCGTGTGGGAGTGTCCGCTTACCTTCTCTTGTTCAGTTGCTCTCCTTGCTTTTGCCCTGTCTTCTTTTGCTGCACGATTGAGCTCGTCTTCATCTAAAGCCAGCTTCCGCTTTGTCCCATGGCTGCCGGCAAGTACGAGCTCTTGCCCTCCATTGTTTGAACTCGCAGGAGCATCCTCAACAAAATAATTCTTCTTTTTACCGGCCGAGCCTGAACCGGCCTGCAGCCCGGTCTGGACCAACTCGAAGTCTTTCACCACCTGCGCTTGGTCCTCCTCGTCCTGTAGCGCATCGCTTCGGGTCGCTTCTAATTCCGCATCTCGGCGCGCCCTGTTCGCCCTCTTTAGCTCCTTCTTCTGTGAGAGGATATTGGCGAGCGCGCACTCGCGACAAAAGATGTCGCCCCGTGAGCATGTGACTGGGTCTCGGGCGAGTTCAAGACATAGGCTGCAGGAGCCAAACGGTAGGTACGAGTCTCTATTCAGGCGTGCGGAAGACGACTTCCAGCTTGCCTTGGCCAGCTGGCGTTCGTGCGAGGTGAAGACGGGTCGGGAGGTGTTTCTTTTGCCTGATTGATTAATCCATTGATCCAAAGCTAGCAGCGGACGCGCAATGGCTGGGGCGCTGGGATAGTCTTACTGTGTGACATTGTCGGAGAATGGGAACAAAAGCCCAGGAACTCAAGATCGGGTCCTTGGGTCAGGTGCCTTATATACTTGGAGGTCGACGATGTGCGCGTGTTGGAGGTTTGAATTCAGATGGCATTCAGATACAGGTCGAGTACCTGTCTGCGCTGCCTGCCATGTACGTCCGATGCAGGTACTCTTCAAGGGTCGGCTACCGGGTAAGGAGCGACAACCCGAAGTACCCACCTAATTTGATTTCGAATCCCGACGCGCAATAACTTTTTTGTCTGGCTAGCTGGATAGCCAATTTCACTTGGAGCTTTTGTTTCATATCGCCTCTGATCTGCTGCCAGGTAACTCATATCTAGCTTTCCCTAGCGAATTGGCCTTGTTCCTCTGCGTTTAGGGTAGGGACTTGGGCCAATCTAAAATTACCTGGAGCATAGGAGGATGGCTGAGCTATGAAACACACAATCATGTCCGGGACGACGCCGCCTCAGCGACCAAGTCTTCCATGGAGACTTGGCTCTATGGCTGTTATGGGATCCGTTGGAATGCTATCGCGCGGGTTTCTCTATGGCCTGAATAGCGTTGAAGTTGATGGGCTGGATAATCTCCTTGGAGTTCTCGACAGGCGAAAGGCGCATCAACGGAACTGTGGGTTGCTGACGGTTTGTAACCACGCTGCCGTGTATGTCTTCCTTCCACCGAAACAGGCCATATATTCATTCCACATAATCTGACAATTCATAAAGTATCGACGATCCTCTGATCTGGGGTATCCTTCCCATGCGTTATGCGTTTGATCCCGAGAACCTTCGCTGGGGTCTGGGCGCCCATGACATTTGCTTCAAGAACAAGTACGCCTTACTTCCAAAACCCCAATGGCTTCCCAAGTATTGGTCTTAACAACCTGCGCTACAGGGTTCTCTCGACATTCTTCAGCCTAGGACAGGTTCTTCCCACCCATCGTTCATGGCATTCATCGCATGGGGGCCTGTTTCAGCCAACCATGACTGAGGCCTTGAAGCTACTTTCTTCCCCTTCATCAGTTATCAACCAGAAAAACCCTCTTACCTTCTCTACGGACAGTAGGGATTCCTTCGTGTCTCCAGCGCAGTTTGTAGCCAATCACCACGCTTGGGTCCATGTCTTTCCTGAAGCATGCTGCCATCAGAATCAAGAAGGGACCTTGAGATATTTCAAATGGGGGGTGTCTCGACTTATTCTTGAGAGCGAACCAGCCCCTGAGTTCATCCCCATGTATGTGCATGGCACGCAAAATATCATGTCCGAGGAGAGGGGTTTCCCTCGATGGGCGCCACGCATTGGACAACGGTTTCGTATGATCATCGGAGAGCCAACTAACGTCGGCCGCTTATTTGAGCGCGAGCGTTCTCAGTGGAAAAGTCTCGTCGAGAAGGCCGGGGATCCAGACCTGCTCATGGATCAGCCCGAAGCTGTTCAGTTGAGGATTGACGTGGCAAAGAGAGTTCGAGATGAGATCGGGAAACTGCGAGAGAGAATGGGACTCGCGCCAGACGATGATGAAGCAGCTGCATTAGCGGAAACTTGGCTAAAAGAGCCCAATAAACGCAAGTTTAGGAGCCCAGTAGACGGCAGTCTTGTAAATAGACATTAAGAGACACTCACATGCGAAGAGTGGTGGGCAAACATCTGGGAAAGAGGTATATCATAGCAAAGCATTTTCACTAATGGCAATTTTTTTATAAAGACATCACCGACCTATCATCCAGAGTCTTCGGGATTTGCTCGCACACAAGAATTCGACAAGAACCCTCTATCATTAAACATGCTTTGACCCATATGCAAGCCGCGATCAACTCCAGTACCACCCTAATCCCGGTGAAGAAGAAAATGTGTTCAAAAAAGAAAAGTGCGAAATATAGAAACCCGGATGTTTTCATACCGCAATTAAAGTAATTCCGTCTCCCAGATACTCCAAAAAGGAAAAAAAGAAAAAGGCACAACGAGAAGTCTAGTTGTATCCGTCATAGGCAGGGGTTTGGACGCCCTGCTGGTAGTGTCTGGCTTGCGCCTGCATAGCCTGCTGTTGATGGTGGTGGTGGTGTTGCTGCTGCTGCATGACGAGATCATTGAACCATGGGTGTTGAAGAGCGTCCTGGGCGCTGATTCGCAGTTCTGGTCGCAACTGCAGCATGCGTTGAAGGAGATCAATACCGGTAGGATCGATTGCCTGAAGAATGTTCCTCAGATCCTGAGTGGCATACATCTGGAAATTTGGTTTATACTCGGGAAGCTGTGTGATGCCCGGCCATGTCCGCTCAGTGGGCGTACCCATAATTCTGAAGATTTTCACGATCTGGTCCTCATTGGTTGTCCCAGGGAAAAGCGGGCGGCCAGTATACATCTCCGCCATGATGCAGCCAGCTGACCAAATATCAATGCTGGTGTTGTATGTCCTGCTGCCGAGCAGAACATCGGGGGCGCGGTACCACAGGGTGACAACTTCGTTGGAGAAGGTGTTGACCGGAATTCCGAAGGCTCGCGCCAAACCAAAATCTCCTAGCTTCAGTATACCCTTGTTGTTGATGAGAAGATTCTGAGGCTTCAGATCTCTGTGGAGAACACGGTTCTGATGACAGAAATCAATGCCCTTCAGGAGCTGGTACATGAAGGACTTGATGGTGGTGGGTGGCAGGGCTCCGCGTTCACCGTGGGTATCCATGTACCGCTTGAGGTCGCCATCCATATATTCGAAGACGAGCATCAGCTTATTTTCGGTGTGGATGACATCGTGGAGACCGACGATGTTCTCGTGTTTGAGCTCTTTCATGAGAGAAATCTCGCGGATAGCTGTTGAGGGGGTTCCCTCCTCAGAATCGAGGTGAATCTCCTTTAGCGCAACTAGCTCGCCCGTCTGGCGATTTCGGCCTTTGAACACCTGAGAAGAGCGTGTTAGCATATGATGATGATGATGCTTAAGACGCGGAGGGCACTGCTACTACTCACAGTTGCATATGTTCCCTCTCCAAGCTTCTCAAGCTGCTGGAACGAGCTGGGGTGTCGTTTGCCGTCCATGTTGGGTATATGTGGAGTGGTGGCGGTGGGAAGGAGGAGAGAGAGAGAGTATATTGTAGTGGTCGAAAGAGAGTAGCGGTCGAAAGAGTGTAGCGGTCGCAGCGAGACGAAATCAGGTTATATACGTCGTGGCGGGCGCAAGGTCAGCGTTGGTTGGGCTGGCTGGACTATTCTGGGGATTCCGTTTCCTTGAGGCTTTGGGTCTGACAACCCAAGTTAGTCACAGTTAAGCGCGAAGCGCCTGCCCGAGACCAGAAGGGGCCCACAGGGGAGGTAACTCGCCCGTTGTCCCTACCAGGTATCGTGTGTGCTGCACGAGTTTGGGGTGCTTCCCGGTACTTGACCAGGTACCCTGAACGGCCTGCTTAGTGGACACGGTCTACCCACAGTTGTTGTACCGTACCTCTAAGCATGCTCCACCACCAGGACCATGGATGGATGTCGCTAACACGTTCGGCTCTGGGACTCGTCCCCGCCGCTGGTGGGGCATTACCCCTCCCTATCTCGGGGCCTATCCTATGAAGTACCTGATGCGCCAGCAATCAGCTGGTGATGTTGTAAGTATCGCTCGATAAAGCTTCAGGTGGTGTATGAATGAAACTATCATTTACCACCATCAGGCGTCACTGTCCCCAACTCTGATCTCTGCCCTCGGACTCATTACTATAGACACCCTGATATATCAATCACTCTGCTTCATGACCTTGCTCTAACTGCTTGGAACCGCCAACCAGGCTATTCAGCAAGCCAGTTGCAACATACTCCCCATATACCCTGCATCTTATCTTGCGTCATGAGGCCCCTGACCCACGTCGCGGATGGTCGGGCTGGCAGCGACGATGTGTTACCATCCAGCGAGCCAACGTTTCCCATGAGCTTCTGCTTTACGACGGAGGCTGCGCTGGACTCTGCCCTGGACAATATTGCTGTAGAACCGCCAAGATACTACAACTCCCTTCGGAGGAAGCGCAGCCCCGGGGCATTCGCTCGTTCCCCACGCGACCGACAAGCCTCGCCCTCCCCAACGATAGAGAGTCTCGCATCGTTCTCATCTTCCGCGCTCGATCTAGATTTAGAGACCGTGTCGTCTCATACTCATTCTCAACATGTGACGGCGTACCCTGCGGACCTCTCATCCCCGATGTCTGGAATGAGTAGTTCCCCATCATCCAGAAGAGATTCGTCCACTGCATCGTCGCCTCGACGCCTGCGCCGTTCAGATGCACCGAGCTGTGACAGTCGTTTACGAGCCGAAGGAGCGCCGCAACTTATCATGCCAAGTGTTGTTGTTCCCCAGCGGCGCCCCTTTTCGGAGGCTGGAAAGTCGTTAGGGAAGCTCAAGATACTTATAGCAGGTCAACAAGGTTAGTGGTTGTGTGAGCACCTCAGCCTACTAATAAAGAGTGAAATCACTGACTATTAACTAGGAGTGGGCAAGGCATCCTTGGTCCAATCCATCGCCCAGTGCTGCCAACATATTGTTCATGTCGATAATGCTATCTCCCCGAGGCCGGATTCTATGAACGAACTATATGCCAGCACACGGTCATTGCCGTGGTGGAGGACGAGCATGGATTCCGCGTCAACCGCTGGCCAGAGGAGATACTCGACAAGCGAAATATTAGACAGAAACGTTTGCTTCGTTGTCCGTTCGGGATATCAGCCTCATTATCCGGTGAGCAACCATGCAATGCAGTTCCCTCCATGTCTTCTAGACTAACCTAAACCGCTCAGGAAACCGGCGAGGTCAACTACGTTGACTCCCAACTGTCGCCCCTATTGGAAAAGCCCATAGGAGATACGGACCTTGAGTACCTTCTGAGCAGTGGGGGAGAAGGTATCGTTGACGTCGTATTGTATATGATACCTAGAACTGGTAAATTGCCACCCCGTTGGATTCTATAGCGTAATGAGCTGACTTTCGGCGACATAGGACTTGCACCCGCCGATATCCGAAGCATACAGGTGATTCAAAAGAAGACTAATGTGATCCCTATTTTGGCACGTTGCGACGAGCTTGATGCAGGAGAGATTTCGAGAATCAAGCATCACATAAGACAAGATTTCATCGACAACGAGCTTGAATGCTTTTCTTTCGATCCCTCAACATCCGGTTCAGCAGAAGACAGTACCATGGATGTGTACGCCGTGTCAAGTGTGACACGGCCAGACTACGACACGATGGATGCAAGCATTCTCATGAACTCTGCATATGCACAGCCTCTCGTGCCTACCGACCTGGAACAGCTTGTGGGGAAACTGTTCTCCACGGATGGCTGTGCATGGCTCCGACATGCTGCAGCGTCTAAATGTGTCCAGTGGCGACAATCCCAAGAGCGACAGCTCTATCCCACTCCAGATTGGGCGTTAACTGTTCGCCGCCCAATGGACTCCGCCCTCAGCCCTGTCCTAACTCTCAATCCCTTTGTTAGGACGCAGTACTGGGACCGGTTAGAATTTTCAAACTGGGCCCAGAGCTTAAGGCGTAGCTTGGAAGCAGAACAATATCTTCACGTCGCAGCACGAAGAATGGGCCTGGAATCGACTCTCCGCGCCCAGCAATGTGATTTAGTACAGCAAAGCTCCAGGCGGAAATCCGCGAGACGAAGGAGAAGAGCGAAGCCTGAATCACCCTTGGTTCACCAAGATCCGTTGGGCCTCTTGCAGGTGGTCAGCCGATTAAGGCGCAACGGCGGCTTCGCGGTTGAGCTTCTGAGTAGTTTTGGTGTTATAGGATGCCTGCCAGCATGGCTTGCGAATTTTGAGGAGCCGGGACATGTAGGGTTGCCTAGGGTACCCATGGGCGCTCTTCGGTTGTATGTGCCTCTATGAGGATCACATTTATTCAAGCATGGCGTTTGGGCCAACATCTCGTTGCAGTGTTCACTTTGACGATATCCAGAGGGGCATGGCTGGTCGATGTTTGTTCTTGTTCACTTTCAGCTACTAAATAAAAAATCAGACCATTAATTTCCTCACTATGCCATGAATTCGAGCTGTTCCACAATTTGGTACACCTTCCATCACCGAGCCTGAGAAATCCAAACCCACAAGTAATTGACATGGGATAACTAAGTTATAAAGCACAAAGCCTTTCTTGCTAGCAACTGCTTATTTTCCGGAAAGAGCCCTCAGCGCTTGCTCGAAATCAGGGATATCATCGGCAGACCTAGCTACGTGGGCCCAGATAACCGTGCCAAACCGGTTGACGGCAAATGCGCCGCTCATCTGCCACCTGCTTCCACTCTCAGTTGTTCGATTCCAGATGCCCTCTCCGGTGCCGAGCTTGTACGCAGACCAAAGGACAGAAGGGCTCAAGGCATGCCATGTGGAGGATAGCCCGAGACCCCATTTGGCGTAAAGATCACGCTCCTCGTCAACGATGACGTCGGTGCTCCAGGTTCCGCCAACCTGTGGAAGCCAACGTTCTGTGGCCTCTTGCGATGAGTGTGAGACGGCAATACAGTGGACATCGTGATGCTCTTCAGAGACATCTGCGAGAGTCTTGAATGTTTTTTCCGCGACTAGGGGAGGCCAGTCGCGCGTGTGAGCACGTGGGATGAGAAAGAGATGTACCAT